TTGTACTCGAAAGTGAATAACCTAACTCCACTTTCAGGAACGGCTTTATCAAACCCTCTGTTTTTTTTGAGTCGATACTTCAATGATACTTTCCTTACGTAGCATTAACAGGTATCCTTCAAACAATGCCTCTGGTTTTGCGTAACGACCAGCGCGAGCAGCATTTTGGATGGTGACTTGGGATTTCGTCTTGACATTCTCTCTATTACTGTTTCCAACTGTCTAATTTTAGCTTCGTTTGTAACACATAAACTTTGTTAACTGGAACAGGAATCTAAACCATGAGCTGTGCTTTGTACTATATTTTCTCGCGATATACTTAACTATCGCTTCTTTTTACGACCCCCTTCGTTTAAGGGTGACCTATTGTCTCGTCTCCTCGGAATATAATTACGTTCAGATCGTACGCCTATATAGTTTTGCTCATCGTTCTTAACACGATCACAATACGAAGTTCTTAACATTAACTTAACACGAATCACTAAATAACTTAACTAAGGCCCTAATGGTATCCTTTTTAGTTACGTAACAACTTAAGTTTCTGCACGATCTGTATATAAAGTATTTCACTTACGTCACATACGTTTTTCTATAACAAAGGTAAGCAGTTAGTTCACCCCACACCTGAACTGTAAACTATTTTAATTAATTTTAAATGAAATAAATCGGATTTTAATATCGAATCGAATTTAATCGGTGTTAAGAATAATAATACATAGAATGAAACATATCGAATGAATGTCTATGCAAGAATGCCGTGCTAATCACCAAATATTCTTATGTGTCCCAGTTCGACGTATCGTTCTACGAAATATGAGTAGCACTCGTGAATCATGACAGGGTGGTCTAGCCTAGCGATAAACGAAATATCCGAGTGGTTACACTAATCCCTTTGTTATAGTAAATGGTCCTATAAATTTATTATTTTTATTATTCCTATAGTATGGATTTTTATAATAAACTACTTGATTAATCTTAAATTCTACATTTTCATTCCCATTTACACTATGCTTACTAATTATTTTTTTATTGTCCTTAACTAAAGATTCATTAACTTTATTATATACATATTAAAGCGTTTCTTTAGGATTTTGTACATAACTTGAAAATAACTCTTTAGGCATAAATATTTTTTTAGGATTTCCGGAATTTGTATGTTCGTGTAAAACAAGTCGCACTGTGTATTGATTTATTACATCCGAGAATGGCATAATTAATTAAATCATCATCTAGGGTACAACTCTTTTAGGATTCATTAATGTTCGATCTATGTTTAATGAAATCGTTCAATAATTCCATTCGACTTATGGTGACCGGGTGTGGTAGAATGTATTTTTATTTCATGTAAATTTAGAAGTTCACAAACTGTATCATTTTTAAACTCTCTACCACTATCTAGGACAATTGTTTTGAGTATACCAAAACATTTTGTCAAACCGTCACAAATGTTTATTGCTATTTTACCAAATTTTGCAAAGGGATTAATTACTGTCACAAGAACCTATTTATTATAGTGAAAAATGTTTATATGTAATATTTCAAATGGCTTCATGGGTGTTTCAGTTAAATTTAATGGTACAAAGGGATTTTTTCGAGCATATTTAGTTTGTTTACAGATGTCACAAGAATTAATATATGAAGTGAATGTTTTTCGCATATTTGTCCAATAATAATTTCGCTTTAAATAATTTAATGTTTTCTCAATACCTCGTTGGTTAGTTTTCCCATTATGATGATTTTTTATTAACATTATTTGTTCATCGATATCTTTAATCGTATTTACTAAACGTGTACACAACTAATTATAAAATGTCTTTTTTAATATTTCTGTATATATTTCATCAAAATATATATGGTAGGTTTTAAAAGGACCTAAATAATTTTTTAGAAAATCTATTATTTGTTCTCGATTATTTTCTAATGGTAATTTTAAAGTTATATATTTTTGTTAATATTTTCGGAACAACTATTCGTTCATCATTTTGTTTAAAAACTAATACTTGATTATTTTTATTATTTATTATTTTCGACTTCTTTCTCATCAGAATTAGATTGACACGGATGTTTTATTTAAATATCTAAGATTATATTTATTTTTGATTTATTTTTTGTTTGTAACTAGGGCCAGTTTCTTCTAAATCTTTATCAGAAATGTAATTATTGGGGTTTTCGGCTGTATTTCTTAAATTTCTAAACTTTTTATATTTATATCATTTAATTTAATTCTATTTAAAGCATCTGCATTACTGTTTAGTTTGCCTTTTTTGTAAACTATATTGTAATCATACTCCTCTAATTTGAGGCGCAATCTCATAAATTTTGAATTGGGTCCTTTCAAATTGAACAGGCAGACTAACGGACGATGATCAATTTATATAGAAAAGGTTTTCCCAAAGAGATAAGCACGGAAATACTTGCGAGAAGTTCTTTCTCTATTCTGCTGTACCTCTGTTCCGTTTCGTTAAAAGTTCATGACGTGTACGCCACTGGTTTATCCTAACCTACGATATCTTGCGATAATAGTGCACCAAGGGCAACGTCTAATGCGTCGATGGTTAGTACAAAAGATTTATAAAATTCAGGATACTGAAGAATTGAACTATTACATACATTTTCTCACAATTATTAAAACATTCAATAAAATGTTGATTATGAATTACTTTCGCATTCTTTTTTAAACAGATAGTCATAGGTTTTGTAATGTCAAAATGCAATACAAATACAATAATTGGGAAGTTTTGTACTGCCCGTATTTTATCTGGGTTAGGTTTCATTCCCTAAGATGGGACTACGTGACTCAAATAAACAACTGATTTCTGTAAAAACTCAGATTTATCCAGATGAATTTTGAAATTTGCTTCTCTCAACCTATCAAATCAAATACATCTGGAACTCTAGAAATATGTTCTTGTAATGAAGTGCTAAATATTAGAACATCATCTAAGTAAACCTGAGTAAATAATACAAATGACATTATTTAAACCTTTAAGAACTTTGTCCATTACTCTTTGAGATGTAGATGGAGCATTTTTAAGTTCAAACGGTTTACGAGTGAGCTCATAGTGGCCATCGAGTGCCCGAAATTCTGTCTTTAGTATGTCTTGTGCATCAATTTCTATTTGATGATAATCAGACACATCTAAAGTTGTAAAATAAATTCGATACCTTTCTGCTGGCAACTTTACTAAGGTCTAATTACAATTAGGACCGGTTGTTAATTACTGAGTTAACCCATGATTAGGAAAACTCTAGAATTAACTTTAAATTTCACTTTAAAATACAAAATAATATTTTTACAAAATGGTTTGAGCATTTTATAGCTACAGTAAACCCTACACCTGCATCTCCAGTTTTGCGCTATTAGACGGCCATAATTCGCACACTCGAAATATTGATATCAACAATATAGCCAGAGATAATAATGTCACAATCGTGTGTTTACCGCCACCTTCTACACACAAGCTCCAGCCTCTGGACAAGTTTTTTTATGGGACCATTTAAAGCACATTACAGTGAGGAGATAAGAACGTGAATATGACAATATGCGCGACCAGTAACTACATTTGACGTAATCTAAATGTTCGGTAAAGCTTATTTAAGAGTTCATGAGTTCATTTTCTGTTAATCCAAATATCTTCCGGTAGTCTGATTTTCTTGCCTCCGAAATTATCGAGCAAGATGTGGTTGGCCCTCTTCCATAACCTAAAGCTTCCGAAAACCCAACGCCACCAGTAGAATTGATAACTCCTTCAATGGTTTCGCCTGTTCCGTGCATACGCAAAAAAGCAGCAACCAAGGAAGGAAAGCAGAAAAAGCTGTCGTAATAACTTCATCTCCCTACAAAACAGAACTTGAATTGTCCATAGGGCCTTCAGTATCAACTACATCTAAATAAAAAATTGGCCAGGACAAAACAAATTTGACTGATCCAGCTACTCCCAGCACCTCAACCACCAACCTACAGAGTCAAGTTTCTGTTCCATTTATATATAAACTTCAAATAAACAGGAAATATGACCAGGGTAAAATAAGTCTGACTCATGTAGCTACTCCCAGCACATCATACTATCAATTACTTGTCACTGAGAGGTATCTAGAGACAGCTATCTTCCCAGATCATCAAAGTCCTGCAGATTATCAACTCATCAAAAACTTGCTGGTTGTCGCTACAGAGATCATCTTTTCAGCTCGTCAAAGTTCTGTAGGTTATCAACTTGTTAAAAACCTGCTGGTTTTTTCTGTGGGTTGTTTAGGGATAGCCAGCCTCTCATTTTAAATTCCTGCGAGTTAATACGTGGTAGAGAGGTATCTCTAGATGCTCTATTTTTGGGAAGTGGCCACTTAATGGGCTTCTATCCCAATGATAAATTCCCAAGTGAGGTCATTTTATCCGCCCGGTCCACTTAAAACATTGTAATGTTCCACGACGAAATGACACCTATACAAGGTGTATCGTATTATTTATTGTATGTGCTTATTGAGGAAAATGGTAAATTTTGACGTTGCATCATTGCACTTTGTCAACATTTTTCACGCTAGTCACCAGACACTATGCAATTTCTTTGCGTATCTTCACGTCAAAATGTTTCTTATATTTTCCATAAAATTAGAGTACCACTACTATTGCTGGTTAAATTCTTAATCCGATCTCGTAACGTTATTCCATTACTTCTAGTTGTTGCAATATTTGTTAATCTACCGCTATTACCGGCTTGTGCGATAATAACTTTTTCCTTTGATTGACTTGTTCCCATTTTTTTATCATTACATGTGTACATTTATGACAATTTATTAAAAACTTAAAAACTTGTCCCAATAGCACAACAAAGTGTAATTCAAAATATTTTTAACATATATTTATATTTCTGGCTATTAGTTTTTAAATAATTCATGTTTTTTATTGCCATATTAAAAGTTTTATATTACTAATCGAGTTTATTAAAGAATATATTTTTTTAGATTATTTGATTTTATTAATTAAAATTTTTCTTTTTTTTTAGATTGGTATTGCTTCGTATGGAAGTTCTCTTGGTTGTTCTATTGGTTTTCCTGGTGTCTACACAAGAGTAACGAGCTATTTGGATTGGTTGTTATTAAGTACATCTTAAAAATTATAAAATATATAATATAACTGTTTTAAAAAGTTTTGTGTGTGATATTTTTTTTAGTATTGGATAATAGTATAATATAATTGATACCTTCGAAAAGGGGTTAATCACATTTATAGAATTGAAGGGCTAATCGATCATGCAACATTTGCCTTATCTCTATGAAAGATCAGTGATGATTTAAACGAAGTTTTTTTTATTAAAGAAGACAAGTTAAAAATTAAGAATACAAATGTCACCTTTTATTTGTTACGTAAATATGTAATGCTCGATGCATTGTGTGACCCAAGTGAATTTTGATAAAAGTGTATAAACTTTCACCGATATTTATAACTTTTAATATGATGACGTCAGTAGCGTGGCTTGAGTTGAACACTAATGGTGGTGTTTTAGTTTGATTGGCTTAACTGTAAAAATTCGACTATTACCACTTGCGAGTGAAATGCCTTGCGGTAAGAAAAAGATGAAAAATGACACTGTCATTTATGTGATATACACCACATACTTTGATTTTCTTTTACTATACGGAGAATGGTCGCACTGCGCAGCATATCAAACATATCAAAGACGGTCCTGTGCTCACGAACCCAGATGTTCATTATTAGCAACTGTAAACAAACGTCTACGTTACAATAATCGCGTTCGCCAAGCCTTATCTGCGCGAAAAATTCAAGGCTAACTACTTTTCAGTCACGTAGGCATATATGTATCTTTTTCTTTTGAAAGACACAAAAATTAGACAATGCAATCTTAGGCATGTAGGTAGTTGTTAAATAAAAATTATATAAATATGTACAAATTAAAAAGTTGTCGTTTTTGCACAATAAATTGTTTTTTACAAAGTGTTGGAATATCATTATCATATGGAGATGGTTGCAGCTAGCACCAAAAGGAGACAGTCCACTTGATAAGAGCGTCTTAGAGCCGTATTTATAATTTGTTTTAGGTTTACTTTTTAATAACCTACAAATGCAACAGAAACTATTATTCAACCTCACTTTGAATATTGCCCTACCTTACTATAAATATTTGACTGAAATAAACCGAAATCTCTACAAAAGCTAAAAACTGGACAATGAGAATTATTTTAAAATGTAACATTAGAGTGGTTATCCGTAGAATAAAGACTTATATATTTTCCAATGTGCTATATCTATAAAATAGTTTATCTTCTACCTTTCTATTTTAATAGTTTTAAATTTTTAGTTATCAAATTCAAAGGATAATTTATAGGGTAACGCCCAAATTATGGTATTCAACACTGGGCTTTATTGATTATAACAATTTGCCAAGTTTTATAAAGGGTTCTAAGACACATCAATTTAAAACTCATTTATCTACAACTGTCATGTAATGACACTGATTTGACACTTATTTAAATTTTGTAATGACGTATATTACCCTTAGGGCAGAGATAAGGGAGATAAAGATAGAAAACGCCCATAAGAACTCCGAGCAATTACTACTAGAGGGAGTCTTCCCCCCTTCCCCGCGCTAAATTTTGTTAGCAACATCTACTCCCCCCGAGGGGGAAAATACCTCTTCTGTAATTGGCTTATTTAATCAGCGTTGCCAAGTTTGACAGCGCCAGAAGTTTTCTGTGAGCGCCAGTTCTGACACTTTCTGACACATGTCAATTTCTTATTTGTATTTTACGGAAAATATTATTATTTATAACGTTGTAAAGGTTGTAAATGTATATTTAAGATTTATTATCTCTAATAATATGGTGAAAACATGCTTTATGTGTAAAAGGCCTGTTGAAAATGCTTCTTCAAGATAATATGATAAGTAAGTACAGACACAACCTAATTATCAGAGGCGGTGCATTAGGCAATCACCTTTAATTTGCAATCAAACTTTTTTATTTTCTTATCGCGTCTTCATCCGTCTCATAATGATTATAGTAAAGGTTAATTACTTATTATTATTTTAATATCACATCTTTGTAAAGTTCATTGTTATTTTTTTTAGGTTTCCTTTTCTTGATATGAGAAAGAAATACATGGTTCCAAAATATAGGAATTCAACAAGTGACCACCTGAATAACTTCTTATGCTAATGCATTTTTATTACAGATCTCAGGGAAGGAAAATATTAAAGAAAAATGCAATTTCGACAAAAGAAGTATAATAATCAATCCTGTCACTACTTCTACACTATATTCATCTGCTACTAAAATACTAAAACAGCAAGTAAGTAGAGAAATTTAAGTTTCTTTCAAAAAGAATGTTTAAGGAAAAAGGCATAGCTATTTTTTTGTTGACACTTTTTTTTAACTAATCTGAAAGACTAATTTTGTGTATTGTTTAAATGTTCATTTTTTGTACTTAATTTATTTTAGGTTTAAACAAAATGAACTTCTAAGATATGCATGGAATATCCCAAAAGAGCTAAGGAAGGTTTTAAAATTCTTAAGAAAAGTATTCAGAGCCAAAAACATAAAATAGTCTTCCTGTCCAAAATATAAATAGGTATAAATATTTAGATATTATGAGTGATTTTTTATTCTATAAAGAGAACATAATTTGCTTCTAAATCACTACCTAATGAAATATATTATATAGTACAAAACTAAACAAGAATATCACATTATTCATGTTTTTTTTTAATTTTCTTAAAAAACGTCCCAAAAAAATGTGAATATTTATTATTGGAGTTAACATCGTTATGCTAAAACAATACTAGAACAACTTAAATAATGTGGATTTTGACTATTTTGAGTTATGCAGATCATTATGATCTAAAATAATGTTTGTCTGGTGCTATAGTCAGGTATAAAAACATTCATTTATTTAAACACAGTTTCAATATACATTTTATTTAGTTTTAAGTTAAAACCTATTAGGACATCCTAAAATTACTTTTTTCGTTTGATGTGAGATTAATTATTCTACATTTTTGTTGATGAAATAGGATATATTAAGATATCTTACTGTTTTCTCTGATTATCTAAAAAGTTAGAACAATATACAAAGACTGTTATAACAAAAAAGAGATATACCTTTACTGAAACACACAATTAGTCAGTTCAATTGTACGATAATTTAAAGCAGAAATCCAGAAAACTTTAAAAATGTGTTTAAATGTGTTTTTACTATAACAAGGACATAATTATTAAAAAAACTTGGCACATTAACATTGACGATGGGTTTTAATAATATATATTATACAAATCACAACGAACTACACAAAATGACATTATTAATAATTTAGTAATAAAAAAGTTAAATACAATGATGACATTAAAAGTTGAGTTTCTCGAAATACTTTTTTTAAATTGTCTCAGTAACTACCTAGTATTTTTCTAGCACAATGATATTATATGAATGTGCATTGTGTGATATCTTATATTTTAGGAATAAAATTATATATTTTTTTGCAGGTTTCTGTTAACAACGATTCCAAGAACTTTTGAAAATATTATTAAAACGGCATTTGCAAATATAATTCTCAATTAAGAGCTTTTGATCTAACATTAAATTTTTATTCTCCATAAGGTTATAGCTTCCTAAGAAGAAAGTTTATCAAGACTTACCAGACTCAAAATATCAAAATTTTATCAACCAATTGATGGTTCTACTGGTTTCCATAGGAAAATTCTCCTCGAAACTACTAAAAGAAAAGTGGCAGAGGCAACCGAAGAAGGCAAAAAAGTCGTTTGCAAAACAAAAACTAGAAATTTGTTTAAGAATCTATTGTTTGAAGTTTTACCATTAATAATTTTTGATAACGATTTAAGATTATAAAGTTCTATTATGAATTTTACTCTTTGATGACCTATGTTTAAATTTTTATTAGGACCAAAATAAATTATAATTTTCACTTCAACTACAAAAACCCTCATAATATTAAAAAAGGGAAAAACGTTAGATTAGTTATGTTCAGTAATAAACTCTTTAAGCATTTATCTACTTAAAATGTGTTACTTTTAGAAGGTATGTTATTAACTTTCTATTTGTACTTGTATTAATTTATTTCATTTTATTATCTGTTGTATTTTCAAATTGATTTTGATATTAATCTTATCTATTTATATATTTTTTATACTCACATATATGTTTTTTTCATTAAAACAAACGTTTATTAGCTTATTAAATATAATAAATTCATGTTGTTTTATTATATGCTTGTATGAATGATTACTTTTATTTCCTTTTAAAAATGAATTTCGATGATAAAGCCGAAACGGTGAGTGAGAATAAAAATTAGACGAAAGTGACGATATTTACTGGAGCTTTCATCTACACGCTCCTTTTTCTAGCCATCTACACCTGAGCCAGCAAGATTCGTCTTCCCTCCATCCTTAAATTCTCCAGATTTACAGAGAAAACGCCGTCCTCTTTAACATATCCAGACCTTCTTTGATGGGGACTATACCACTACATTATCAGCTTTATTTGTTATCCCGAGCAATTTAAATGCATTCGTAATTGCTCATTCTCACCTCTTCTCTTGTAGATTCCGTACTCAGTTTTCTTATTTTTAGTTACGTTTGCACTGCTCATTTATTTTCACAGCTTTAATTCTATAATGCTGTAACGCTACAATATGGATCCATTTATGTGGTTTATACTATTTAATGTTATTCGTAAGTGACCAACCTATTATAATAATTAAAGATTATTGTATTACAGGCCTGAAGATGTTCCTGTAAGGCCGAAACTAGTCGCTCCTGTATTTATAATAAAATTTATTTTAAGGTTTTATTCTTCAATTGAAAAAATTAGACCTTTACAGTGATTTTGTTTCTTTTTCTGCATTAGATATATATATGACGGTATTCATTTTAAAAATAGTAAAATTAGCAAATTTTTTAGTTTTTTTTTTACAATTAAAACGTTTGGACAATGTGTATTTTTATAGATAAATGATACGCCACTGAACAAGAAGGATGTTTGTTTACCTTCCCCCTTGTGCCCGCTTCCTCACTTCCTCTACAGATGTTGCTAACACAACAATCGCCTACAAACTCGTTTTCACGCTCCCTCTATTAGTAATTGCTCGGAGCATAAGAAGCCAATGCTTAACAACGACCAGCTTTATTGCAGTTAACATCTGACCCACTATGTGGCGCTTTCATCGATATCAAACAACGCAGCGGGAAATTTAAAAACCTGATAATAAAGATTGTATAAATATCGACTGCACTCTCATGTTCTTGTAAATAAACAATGTAATTACGCTAAATTATTTATTAAAAAGAATACTACACTTACAGTCTATTATCGATTAATTATTGTTAATCTGTATTCATGACAAATATTTTTTAATTTTTCATTGTTATTTGTAACATTGCATTTTTGTTTCTACTTTCCAAACAAATGGTCAGTAGTATCTTATTTAAAAATGTTGAGTGCAAATTCAATAATGGGAATTCAGATATTTTTCTTCCTATATCAAATCTTTCTAACGTTTTAAAGCCATTTTCTTGTTCTAAAACAATAAATAATACATAAATACCTACTTTTACTATTTGTGTTACTTACATGAATAGTTATTAATTAAAGAACGCCACATTGGGGTTGTTAAATTTGTTCATGTGGCATGTGTTACTAATGCAATACGTGCTCCGACTTATTGTAATATTACAAAATATAATTATTGTCCTCAAATTTCACACAAAAACAGCCACAACTATTTCGCTTAGTTTATATCTAGAGGGTAACACAATCATGAACTCAAAATTTATAATTTAAATTCAGGATTCTTCAATATACATAAAACTGACAATTATATTTACAAACTGTCCATGTCTACTGTCCATGTCTACTGTATATCTCAGTGTTGCC